ATAATAATAATAATAATAATAATAATAATAATAATAATAATAATAATAATAATAATAATAATAATATCCCATTAATTTATAAGCCATTATTTTGTGCCACTAATCTCAAATCAGGTTGCAGGAAGACGAAGCAAAGAAGCCCAGACTTGTTTCTCAAGCCGATCTTTACCCCTCAAGCTCGGGTCTTCTACCAAACACCTGGGACCTTAAGGGTCCTGTGCAGTATCTTTGCTGGCTCTTCTGGACAGAGATCTCCGATTATCACTGGGACCCTCCACATCTTCTCAAGCTCCTTTGTTAGCCCTTGGTATTTTCTCGAGCGTATAGTCATTTGATCATTTCCATTTTTCCATTTTGGTTTTATTCATGAAAATCACAGTAGAATAAAGTAAGCTAGAAGACTTACAGGCATCACTGTGGTAAACAGTGAACAGCACGAGCAGAAGTCCCACTGTCAGGCTGAGAGTCTTCATGTTGACTTCACTGTAGACCTGATGATCCTGATGTTTCAGAAGGTGTCTGAAGTGATCAGTCCGAACACCCCGCTTTAAGTCACATTCTCATCTGCACATCGAAACCAATTCTAAGAAAAGTGGAAAAACAATCAACAGCCCCAGATGGTTAATAGATTGGGTTTTTCTGCAACATGAGATAACAGGAAGTTTCAGAATATCAATCTGATCATCTGATAAAACAAGCTGAAAAAACCCAATGAGTGTTCTACAAAGTCCTTACAATGCATGCAGTATCTTTATCTCATGTCTCAAACAACGCAGATTAATAGGTCAGGCTGTAAATAGTACAGTATAATTTGATGATAAATTCAATTAACAGGGATCTTTTTGTGGTTACATGTCTTCCATCTTATGGTTTTAGAAATTGTCGAGCAAACACTAACGGCCTCGGCAAGTTGCTTGAAGAGTTATACCAGATAGACAGAAGGCAACTAAACTCTACTGAACCATCCAAGCTATACTATCAGTGGCAGTGCGACAATGTGAGAACAGCCACACCAAGGCAGTACAGAGCGCAACACTGGATGTGGTGTACAACACTAGAGGCCAACTTCAAGCCAGTGG